AGACGCTGAATACATTGAGACACTGATACATTTGAGATACTGAATACATTTGAGACACTGATACATTTGAGATACTGATACATTTGAGACACTGATACATTTGAGACACTGATACATTTGAGACGCTGAATACATTTGAGACACTGATACATTTGAGACACTGATACATTTGAGACACTGATACATTTGAGACACTGATACATTTGAGACACTGATACATTAGAGACGCTGAATACATTAGAGACGCTGAATACATTAGAGACGCTGAATACATTAGAGACGCTGAATACATTAGAGACGCTGAATACATTAGAGACGCTGAATACATTAGAGACGCTGAATACATTAGAGACGCTGAATACATTTGAGACGCTGAATACATTTGAGACGCTGAATACATTAGAGACACTGAATACATGTGTGATGTATTCCACTCTACACCTGTTCATTCCCGCCAAGCTTGCAACACCTTACATATAATCTCACTCTATTTATTACAGCTTATAATTCTGAATATGATAATAATAATAATTAGTATTCTACCTATTATTTAAACTACAATACTAATATATGCCAGGCACTAGAGGGATATAAGAGGTCTTATTGACCTTTCATAGGTCAATAAGACCTCACCTGAACACAGCTAAGTGGCTCTTGACCAAATACATCACCAGCTCCTCAAGCCTCTCCGATGGGGGAGTCCTTCACAGGCTAGTGGACAAAGCAACAGAACAATTGAGTGTGGACTCTAAGCGGTCGCACCTGCGTCAGAAACAACTTCTCAAATGACGAAGATAAATATCCTACTTGAGTTGAGGAAGAGCCCTCCTTGGGAACGCCACCTGTGCGCATGCGCGGCCTCTGATGTGACGTAGACACGGTCTGTGCAACAGGCTAGGTTCTCTGTTGCATCGTAGACACGGTCTGTGCAACAGGCTAGGTTCTCTGTTGCATCGTAGACACGGTCTGTGCATCACGCTAGGTCTCTGTTGCATCGTAGACACGGTCTGTGGAACACGCTACGTATCTGTTGCATCGTAGACACGGTCTGTGGAACACGCTAGTTTTCTCTGTTTCATCGTAGACACGGTCTGTGGAACACGCTACGTATCTGTTGCATCGTAGACACGGTCTGTGGAACACGCTAGGTTTCTCTGTTGCATCGTAGACACGGTCTGTGCAACACGCTACGTATCTGTTGCATCGTAGACACGGACTGTGCAACACGCTAGGTTCTCTGTTGCAACGTGAACACGGTCTGTACAACACGCTAGGTCTCTGTTGCATCGTAGACACGGACTGTGCAACACGCTAGGTCTCTGTTGCATCGTAGACACTGTCTGTGCAACACGCTAGGTCTCTGTTGCATCGTAGATACGCACTGTGCATCACGCTAGGTTCTCTGTTGCATCGTAGACACGGACTGTGCATCACGCTAGGTTCTCTATTCCATCGTAGGCACGGACTGTGCATCACGCTAGGTTCTTTATTCCATCGTAGGCACGGACTGTGCATCACGCTAGGTTCTCTATTCCATCGTAGGCACGGACTGTGCATCACGCTAGGTTCTCTGTTGCATAGTAGACACGGTCTGTGGAACACGCAAGGTTCCCTGTTGCATAGTAGACACGGACTGTGCAACAGGCTAGGTTTTCTGTTCCAACGTGAACACGGTCTGTACAACACGCTAGGTCTCTGTTGCATCGTAGACACGGACTGTGCAACACGCTAGATATCTGTTGCATCGTAGACACGGACTGTGCAACACGCTAGGTCTCTGTTGCATCGTAGACACTGTGCAACACGCTAGGTCTCTGTTGCATCGTAGATACGCACTGTGCATCACGCTAGGTTCTCTGTTGCATCGTAGACACGGACTGTGCATCACGCTAGGTTCTCTATTCCATCGTAGGCACGGACTGTGCATCACGCTAGGTTCTCTATTCCATCGTAGGCACGGACTGTGCATCACGCTAGGTTCTCTGTTGCATAGTAGACACGGTCTGTGGAACACGCAAGGTTCCCTGTTGCATAGTAGACACGGTCTGTGGAACACGCAAGGTTCCCTGTTGCATAGTAGACACGGACTGTGCAACAGGCTAGGTTCTCTGTTCCAACGTGAACACGGTCTGTGCAACACAGGTATCTTTGTCACCTGACGTGGAGAATACACGCAATAGGGACACTTAGGCTACTCTCAAAGTGGTACGATTAATGCAAGTACCAGAATAATAAAGGGCCTCGTAGCCTGGTGGATAGCGCGCAGGACTCGTAATTCTGTGGCGCGGGTTCGATTCCCGCACGAGGCAGAAACAAATGGGCAAAGTTTCTTTCACCCTGAATGCCCTGTTACCTAGCAGTAAAATAGGTACCTGGGTGTTAGTCAGCTGTCACGGGCTGCTTCCTGGGGGTGGAGGCTTGGTCGAGGACCGGGCCGCGGGGACACTAAAGCCCCGAAATCATCTCAAGATAACTTCAAAATAACCAGTGACTATATAGAGGATATTACAAAGACAATCACAAAATATTCAGACCTCAACGTATCACATAATCAGGTACAAAGTTCTGTATTTACCGTGTGATATGACACGTGTATCACCGACGACCGAGTATACATGACATTTACATACATAAAATTTTACAAATAAAACAAATTTTAAAATTTTAAATAAAATATACCATTTACATACATAAAAATCACAAGTTTTTTTGCCCACAAAACCAATTTAAATATGATAGTTTTTCCTACATAATATGCTTGTAAATTAGGTCCGTCTTAGCTGGCATAGTCAGTAGTTTGGAGGAAGATAATGTAGAGGGTTTTCAGTTGAACAAATCCACAAGGGCCGTGACGATGGTTCGAACCTACGTGTTTAGGGTTTTCAGTGTTATTCTTCAGTACTTGTATTCCTTGGGATGTGTAGAATGGTACGAAATAGTGGTACAATGGTACAACCGCTCTGTGTTTCAAGGTATATTACCACCGTATCAGATCTTGGACACCTGAGGCCAACACAAACAAGTTGGTAGTTTGCTGTTAGTGGAAATATAATGTTACCAAAGTAGAGAACGACTTGACAGACTATTAAACAATGTAGAGCTTCGACTCTAAGCTAGAGATGAAGCTCATCTGCCTCTCTGAACCCATCACTGGAAAACTTGAAAATGGTCCAGGACGGACCGAAACGTCGTCATCCCTTCACTTTCTAGTGTGTGGTCTGGTCAACATATTTCAGCCACGTTATTGTGACTCATCGTCTGCAATACAATGCTCACTACATACGGGATTAATAACGTCCCAAAATGGTTTGGGAGCTGCTTAAAGGTCAAAATACACTTTGTGTCCTGCAGTAAGGGAATTGTAGCAACTAAACTACCTAGTACCACCGGAGTGTCCCCGGTGGAATATGCTAGGACCATGCTATCCTCTTAGAATATGCAGGATAGCATATGCTATCCTCTTTCTGCTGTACATAAATGACATTTACAAAGCTTCGACAGCTGCTAAAACTGTACAGTTTGTGACGACACGACTTCTGACTTTGACATCCTCAACAATATATTAAATCCTGAATTACACAAATTAAAAAAAAACATTTTTTAGCGAAAAGACTTTATCTTAACATTAACAAAACTTTCTGTGTGATATTGGGCGGACGCGAGAGCAATTATGCGGAAAGGAAGTTAAAAATTAGCTATTAGAGCGTCTTAACAGCCATTACTCACAGAACAGGAAGTGCCTTTGGACCATTCTACAGCCAAACACAAATAATGAGAGCCGCGAGGCCCTACACAATTTAAGACAATCTTTCATGCTCTCTTTAGAGTACATGACACTGTACTCTAAAGTGTGTTCTACTGACCTTAATTGGACCCCTGCAGCCTCTCTGAGACGCAAACCAGGCTTCTACACAATTCCCTAGCCCATCCTCGGAATTGTCAGTAAGGTTTAATACTAAGTGACCACCTATCTTGAGGTTATCTTGAGATGATTTCGGGGCTTTTTAGTGTCCCCGCGGCCCGGTCCTCGACCAGGCCTCCACCCCCAGGAAGCAGCCCGTGACAGCTGACTAACTCCCGAGTACCTATTTACTGCTAGGTCACCTAAAGTGACTTATCCACCTTCACTTTCCGTACTGACATTGTCGCTACTGCTGCATCCACCAGTATAGATGGGACCCATTCGAAAACAGATGGGACCCATTCAAGAACAGATGGGACCACAAGGGACAACTCCATAACCCCACCACATATCTGATTAAACTTACAGACGGGAGTTAACTATATATTTCCTTTCGTTACAAGGGGTCTAAAAAGAATGTCATGCACAAACTAAAACACTCGACACACTTCCTTCAGACTCAAGCCTCTCACACTCGCACTCATCTCCTGCACACACACTCCAAAAAGCTCACCCACTTCAGTGCTCATATATGAAGCGAAGTGCCTCTCACCCTCTGAAAAAAACCTTCACCTTCCTGGACCAAATCCAGAGACTTTTAACCAAAAAATATAAAATCATTTTATATCACACAATAAGAATTTCTAAACGCAATATATCTCCAAGGGTCTATATCATATCATATTATACAAGTCTATATGAAGTTTTGTCATCATATCACCATAACTTTGCGAACATTATAGGACATTATAAGGCGTTTAGTGTCATTATAAACTTGACACCTCTATCAACGCAATCAGTTAAGATTGTATTGATTTTTTTCACCAATTTATTATCAAATTGTATTAATGTATCGGATATGATGTATATATTCCCACTGCTCTTTCTCCTTACACAACTCCGGTTCCTCCTTGTTCTCCTCCTCACCTTCTAGCACGTGTTCCATTTTCCTCGTTCTTCTTGTCTCTTCTGTTCCCTCACGTTTCTCTTCTTCTTCTGAAGAAGAGAAAGTTCTTCTCTTCCTCCTCCATCTCTTTAGCTCATTGTTCTCCAGATGTTCTGCTGCTGTTCCTTGTTCTCCATCCTGTCTGTAGTTGTC